GAGAGTATATGTATATGTGTGTATGTGTGTATGTCTATGTGAGAGTAATGTATATGTGTGTATGTGTATGGAGTATGTATACATGTGTATGTGTATATGAGTATATGTGTATATGTATGTGTGTGAGTATATGTGTATGTGCATACATAAGTATGCATATGTGTGCATGCAGGTACTTGTTACATATGTATGGTATATGCTTTCATGTGTGTATGTACACATTCATTCACTGGGACCCAGAGGAAGATGTTGGATCCCTGCTCTATCAATCTCCATTGTATCTCTTTTACACAGGGTCTCTCACTGAACCTGGAAATAAGCTGGTGTCCAGCAAACCCCAGCGTCTCTGCCCAGTGACCGTTATAGGAGCGTAGGACCATACTGCCCATCAGTTTCATGTGGACACTAGGACTGAACTGGTACCCGTGCTTGTGCAGCAAGGGCTCTTACCCACTGAGCTATCACTTCAGCTTGCCATGAGTATCTATTCAATGAATGATCATCAAGTAAGAATATGTTTGATAGTCATTTAAAGAATTAGACCACATAGAGATGACCTCTTTTCTTCATTTCTACAAAGAACTCATATTCAAGCCAGTTTCTGGCTTGAATAATAATAGATAATTTTATACAGTAGTTATAGACAAAGTGGACTATATCATGACACGTGGATGTGGCTGTGTTGGAAACACAGGCAGTCACTCACAGCTTTTCCTGTTGTTTCCCTGATACCGCAACTATAACTATCTTTCTACTTACTTTTTGCAATATTTGATTATTAAAAGTTAATGAGAATTAGTTTTAATATTAACAGAGTTGATTAAAAATATTTAAATTGTACTGATATGATAGTGGATTCTTGAGCTTATCATTTAAATTCTCCAGACTATAATTTTTAGGAGTTTAATGATGTTAACATAACATACACCTATTATTGACTATGGAAAAATTCACGAGGAATTAAATAGAAGATTAATGGAGCAATTTGGAGAAGAAAATAAGGGATCCTATTGTGAGCCAAACATCCTGCTTTGGTCCTGTGTAATATACACTCAGTCAAACACAGTTAGCATAATTCGGCAGCCTACACAAAGCAGAGGTGCCCGTCCTTTAGATTTTTCAAATGGCAAATAGACTGAATATCCTTATTAAATTGATTAATCTATTTATTAGCCAAAACAAATCAGAACGAGCATTACAGTCGAATAGAGTAAAAATAAAACTTGAATTACAGACCACTGTATGTGAGTCTGTTTTCACTGAGTGTGCCGACCGACCCATTGGCCCTTCCTGTGGTAGGCGTTTCTAATAAACACTTGTCTCCTGGTCATTCATCTGATTAGTTTGAGCAGGAGGTGCCTGAACTTCATCCCTATCTTGCTTAGTGTGTGGGGCTAGCCAGGGTGTGGGGGTTGGCTTAACATGAAGAGGTTTGACGCTTGACACTGCTTGGTAATAAAAAAAAATATATATGCTCTGTTTTTAGATGTCCTTTCATGACCAAAATGCATCAAATTGCTGCTTATAGTGTTAAGCAGACATAACAGCTGGTTGTGCGTTAACTGGGTGTAATGGCCTGTGTGCTTAGGAACCGTCTAGTGCAGCCTTTTATTTGTCTTGAGCATAGTTTGTTATTACTCATTCTGTGAATGGACCAGGCAGAATCACATGAAATGGCCTACAGTTAGCTGATTTTGATGTATAAACCTTACTTTTTCATACAGTTCAATATAAATCTAAAGCCTTTATCCATTCCTCTGTAGAAATATGTTCTAATTAATAATGAGAAGAACTTGAAATGGTATTATTGGTACTTTTTTTTGGTTTAAAAAAGATACTAAATGATTCAAATGGATTTTTATAGAGAACCCCCTAAACCAGTGACTTGACAGGCAAATACTCAAGCATTTGATATTCAGCCTATTCATATGTAGATGATTTGACACATGGAAGAGTATTATATATATACATCGTGACAAGATTGTCAGTAAACAGTCTTTGCTAGTTGTTTAAAACTGGTAATTATGTGTCAATAGAGAATCAGGTGACACTGCTGATGGTGCTGGATTCTCTTTCCACATACTGGTTTTCAATGAGAAACAAACTTTCACCACAAAGAAATGAAGTCTTTGTCATTAGATCAAACGTAAAAATGTGTCAAATTATAAACAGCAAACATCTTTCCTAGGGGATTATGATCTGTAATGAAAGAAGGGCATCCTAAGTCCCTAAGTTTTGACCTTAGGGTGTGGCATTGCCTTAACCCGTAGAGGTTTTATTCTCTAGGTAGACAGAAATGAATGTGCATTCAAAGACTTTATGGAATGGGCAGGCATATAGTGATGTTTTTTATGGAGATGCAGGAAGAAGGTGGTATTTCTGCCAAAACGTGATGTAACGCACGATAATTTCAGTGTCTGAAAATCAAGGCTAGCAGCTTGAGCTCCGTGCTACACCAGACAGACTGAGGTAACTGCCCAGGTACCATTTAACATGTCTGTAAAGGGGCTGGCGACATATGTCTGTGTTTTCTTGCAGAGAAGATTCTTAGCAGAGAGAGAATTTTTTTTTTCAAGTTTTGAATCATAAATTTTTATTCATATTTTCTAAATCCCCTATGAGTAGGATAATGATAATCTTAATAAAATCCATGATGAAATGGGAATTCTCATCAAGGGTGAAGATGTTCCCTGTGATGTTGTTGCTTCCTGTTTTGTTTTTGTATTTTAAAACTAGCAAGCCCTCCAAATATTCTCGTATCTGTTATTACTACTGATCCAGAGGAGTTAATAAAGTACCCGATGTTTGTAAATATAAGTAGCCTTAAGCAGGTTTGTTGTTTTCCATTGTTAAGAAAAAGACCACTTAGTTTTATCAATGCACAAAGAAGAATTTTCATATCACTTCTGGACAAAAAGTAACTATTGTTATTATAGAATTTAAATAACTTTTAAAAGCGAGACAGATACCCATATGTTGCTCTCAGGCTAGAGCTTCCCAAGGCCATGAACATTTCACAGTGGATTTTACTAGGAAGAATATTAAAATTATTATTAACACAAAAAAATGATTTTCATTCTTTTTTCATGCTTTCAAGAGCTTTTGATGTGTGAACCAGAGATCTTGGCAAAATTTGATCAAGTTCTTACGCTCTTACCTATCAATTTGTCAGAATGTATTACTGAATTTCAACAAAGAAATGTTTGTTAGAGTACATTGTTTGCTACCTTCTTTCCAGTGTTTTACCTTACCATGGTTATATCCTCCTGAATTATAATTTTATAATTATTTTGTGACTAAAATTACCAGCATAGATGTTTATAATTTATCATTTACCGTTGACCTCTTGGACTTGAATGCACTGTAAATTGAGTTGATGGTTGGTATTGTGCCAGTCACTGCTTTGGAAGTACACTTTGCAGCCAGATCCTAGACCAATGCTGGCCATGTTATTGGTAATATTTTTGTCTGTTTCCTGATACTAGAAGGCAAGAAGAGCATAGTTAAAAATCATCTCATAAAGTTAAAGTTAATTAACTTTTTGTTTCTTCACAATATTCCACACAATATTCTAATTTTTATTAGACTGGAAAAAAAAAGCCCAAATTACCTTGGAGACTTCAATTCATAAGTTACAATGTCCTCACCAAAATAAATATTAGCCATAAAAACTAGGATAGACCCTCATGAATATTCAAATTATTCCCCACATTCCATAAAATATGCATTATTAGAGGTGCCATCATTTTGGTACATGGAGATGTTTGCGTCTTTGTCAGAAAAGAGACATGTGTGATATAGTTAAATCTTACATTTGTGTTCCTCATGTTTTTAGTGTGCATAGTTTGGTCTGTATTATTTTTATATTTTTGAATGGGCTCACTAGGCCCTCCTGGTAGTACGATGCTTCAGGTTTCTGTACATTGGATCTTTAATATAAACTTTGCAACTTTAGCACCCCGTGTCCTGAAACTGAAAAGATGCAGTTTTGGATAGTTTACATCTCATCAGCTCTGGAGCTTTGAGTCTAGTACGGACAGCTGCCATTCTATCTGACATGTAAAAATGGAACAATAAGAGAGTGTATGTAGACTGACTGCGTGTTGAGTTAAATTGTGAGCAATCCTGTAGTTCTACATGTATGGGAAGGCTGTAAAGGAGGCCAGCCCTATAAGGCTGTAAAGGAGGCCAGCCCTGTAAGGCTGTAAAGGAGGCCAGCCCTGTAAGGCTGTAAAGGAGCCCAGCCCTGTAAGGCTGTAAAGGAGGCCAGCCCTGTAAGGCTGTAAAGGAGGCCAGCCCTGTAAGGCTGTAAAGGAGACCAGCCCTGTAAGGCTGTAAAGGAGGCCAGCCCTGTAAGGCTGTAAAGGAGGACAGCTCTCCTGCACCCACCCAAACTCCACTTCATCTTCACCATGTGCTATGAGTTTATTGGGATAAATCTCATAATGTTTTTAATCTTAAGTTGACCATGGAAGGAACGTATATCCTTTATCATCACACTAACAACGCTTGCTCCTCTGATACTTCAGTCTCTGTACACCCTCTCTTGTCTCTGTATACCCATAACTCCTCAACCCCTAAGAAACTTACTGCTTATACTTTCTGGAGTTCCTGGCCCATCATAAGCAAACAATTCTATAGTTTCAGGCTCTCTTCTGGTACTCTTCCACTTTCCTGCTTGAACAGCCATTCTTGCCTGCAGTTGACATCAGGCGTCTAATGCTTGACCCCTGCCACTGCTACGCATGTCACCACTAGGCTTAGAGATGCTCTTGTTTATGTGAAGACGACTGTCCTCACAGTGGTTTGCACATGCTTCCCTCCTCACTAGCCCCCGGTCTTTGCCTTAGTCTCAAACTACTGCACTCTACGGACCCTTGAATCTCTTGACCTCATCTCTCATAGCTTCCACTATGAGCCTTCTCAGTTTAACCTCCTCATTTACTTTTAGTTCTTAGTGACCCCAGTGTTGTATAGATGGTCCTTCCTGTATGCTTTACTCTTCTTGGTCTTATTTTCTAACTACAGCCAACCCCTTTAGCACTCATACCAAGGGTTTGTCATTACCAGTGGTCTCCGTTTCAGATATCCCATTGCCACCATTTTTGGCCCTCAGGGACTACAGTGGTCCTTTGGCTGTATCTGTGCCTTCCCCGCTTAGCACTAGACTGTGAAAGAAATGTTGTAGATACTGATGTTCTTTATATTGCTACACACCAAGAGGATATGCTAAAGGGTCAGAAGCAAGAAGTCCAAAGGGCGGTAGAAATGAGGGCCAAGGGTTCTCTCTGTAGATTACGATGTAGCCTTGTATATTGTTGAACTATGCCTGCTGACCTCACGGAAGATCGGGCTGGCTGTGATTGCTTTTTACATGCAATGTCAGAAAACCCTTCATAGAAGGTAAGTGCATCCATCTCTTGAAACAGTGGCCTGTTAATGCTGAGACTGTTCTTCCAGATGTGGCAGTAGCATAGCTCTGTTCGCTCCTATTCTCCAGAAACAT